GTGTGTGTGTGTGTGTGTGTGTGTGTGTGTGTGTGTGTTTTCAGTGCCGTCACCCTGTAGACTAATCCTCCCTGTGTGACGGTCCTATGGTTCCCGTGGCAACAGTAGACGCCACCATGGGCCAATCAGCTGACTGTAGCGCTTGATATCTGTACACATGGATAGATCCATCCTGCAGCAAAACTACCCAGAGTTCAGTGCGCAGGAGTGTCCTCATGACCCGTGTCAGTCTGAACATGTGGCCGCAGCTTCGCTTGAGTGTAGAGTGCGTTTGTGTGCCGCATGATGCACCTATGAAATTATGATTGATTTGTTATTTATTATATACGTATGAGTTTAATACATACATCTGTATGTCTGCTTTAAACATGTAGATCCATTTAGAGATAAGTCTATGGTTTATTAATCAAATTAATTTCACATTTGATAGCAAGTAAATATTGAAGTATTTATTTTTTAAAAGAATATTTAAGCCAGAAATGAAAACATGCTCACTCTCAGGCCATGCGAGATCAGGATGAGTTTGTTTCTTCATCAGGTTTGTAGAAATTTAGCTTTTTTTTTTTTACTGGAGGAAGCGTTATTAAGAGCAGTCTTCTGGCTGAGAACCAGGTGCTGATGGAGCGGCTCAACCAGTCGGACTCCATCGAGGATCTGAACAGCCCGGCGGGACGCAGACACCTGCAGCTTCAGACGCAGCTGGAGCAGCTGCAGGAGGAGACCTTCAGGTGAGGAGCGCAGACAGATCCCAGACAGGACGGTCCGAAACCGAGTTCAGGAATTACCCTGCTGAGGGCTGATCTGAGACCGCGCGCTAGTGAAAGCATTGTAGTGCATGGACTCCAGTAGTTTATTGCATACTGACGGCAGCAAGAGTATGAGTAAAGACACCAGTGATTAAAATGTGGTTCCCTTTATATTCACAATCAACAACCAGCTCGCAATGTGTTTCATTAGCGTAAGTGTAGGACTGTGTGCGTCGATCCGTCTGATCTGTGCACAGTATCCGGTGTGAATGTGAAGAGATGGAACTGAACTAAACTGCGGCTTTAATCCAGTAAAGTCTTCCTCAGGTTCGTATCCGTGTAGTGAGTGTTCAGGGGTTTTCTGCGGTCCGGGAGATTATTGATCGCTCTCTCAGTGTTTGTTCTCGAGCTCTGAAGATTAAAAGCCTGTAAGCTCTGATCAAACGCTCTGTTTCGTTGTTAATAAAGCAGTGCATTATTGATGGAGCGGTGTCTGGGTCTGATGTGAGATCGCAGACATTAGAGGCGTTCATACTAAAGAGAGTGAGAGACGCAGCGGCTGCTGAGGAGCAGTAAAGATCTGGGCTGGTAACCAGGCCTGTTGATTAATCGTCTGATTATACCGCAGGTATGTGGTGACTGTGATAATTGTGCAGTTTAAATTTCAATCGCACTTTGCCATGCACATTAGTTGCGTTTAAGTGCATGAAGAATGAAATAAATCTCATTTCGGTATTTAATGATCCCAGACTCACGCGGAGCGAAACCCTACCGTTAGCTTTCCTTCACCGTTAATTCTGTGACACTGCGAATGAATCCAGCGATCAGATCAGCGAAATCACCACTGAACATGTCCATCACTGGAATCACAGCAGCTGCACGTCTTTAACCTCTGTCTGATGAGAAGTTTATTATGATTTTAAAATAAAAAAGGCCATTTTCATAAATGAGATCAAAAATATCATTCTCATTGTAATGCTAACCAAAACAATGAAATATTTAAATGAAAGTGGGTTGTACAATATCTATTTGTTATGATTGTACTAGTTTAAGAATCATCTTGCAGTAATGAGATTTTTCTGACATTTTGAGACGCTTTATTTTTGGCCCCATTGTGTGATATATTCATTTAGTTTCAATGAAATATGTGATGTTCTGAAATATTGATGTGAAATATTTGAGAGATTTGTTATGCTCACGAGGAGGCACAGTCGCTCAAAGACGAGATGGACGTGCTGAGGTGAGAGACAGACCTGAGCTCACAGAGAACCAGCGCTGAGCATGAGTTACGAACACGTGTGTGTGTGTGTGTGTGTCAGGCACTCGTCTGATAAGGTGTCGAAGCTGGAGGCGCAGGTGGAGGTGTATAAGAAGAAGCTGGAGGATCTGGGGGATCTGAGGCGGCAGGTGAAGCTGCTGGAGGAGAAGAACACCAGCTACATGCAGAACACAGTGACGCTGGAGGAAGATCTGCGCAAGGCCAACGCCGCTCGAGGACAGCTGGAGACCTACAAGAGACAGGTGCCAGCTGCTGTGATGACTAAGATGAGACGAGACATCGTTAGTCACGAACTATGAACTCAGATCTCAGGGTGATATTAATCTCTGTTAAACCCTCGTGCCGTGATTGGTCGGTCCTGATCACTCTGAGCATGTGCTGCTTCAGCTTTCACACCTGCTGAACGACTCTGACCCGTCCGTCTTGTGTTTTCAGGTGGTGGAGCTTCAGAACAAGCTCTCCGAGGAGTCCAAGAAAGCCGACAAGATGGAGTTTGAGTATAAACGAGTCAAGGAGAAAGTCGACTCTCTTCAGAAGGAGAAAGATGTAAGAAAGCGGCTTGATTTGCCTGCAGTGAAGCTGTGGGACGCTCTGGTTATTACGGCGGTGTTTTGTGAATCAGGAGCGAGCTGCAGACATGTTGAGAGATGAATGAGCGGATCTGTGATAAAGCAGCAGCTGTGCTTCATTCATGGCTGTTACCGCTCTCTTTACTCCTGTTATTATAGTCACTAACACACTGCTCCCGCTCTTCTGTTTTCATCTTTCTCCTCATTTCCAGTCTTTTACTCATTGTGAAGTCAAGCCACGTTTTTTTCTACAGCACTTTATACAAGCAAAAATGTTTCAAAGCAGCTTCACAGTAATAAACAGGAAAATAACAGTATTTATGTTATGAAGTTCAGTTATGAGGTCACAGAATATCAATAGTGAATATTAACGGTCTTTTAAATGAAGCATGTGGATGTTGTAGATGAGCTGCCAAATTAGATGTTGACTCGACAAACTAATTAATTCTGATGAATCTTTTACACCCAATTAACACTTGAGCCTAATTTGACACCAACAGTTTCTGTGAGATTTTTATGAAGCTGACACACACACACACACTCTCACACACTTTCACATATACACTCACACACAAGCGCATGCGCACACACAAACAAACACACACACTCACACAAGCGTGCACACATACACACTCTCGCACAAGCGTGCACACACAAACACACTCGCACAAGCGCTCACACATACACACTCTCGCACAAGCGCTTAGACATACACACACTCACACAAGCGTGCACACACATACACAC